ATACTTGAATAAAAACATTGCAACTCCCAAGATAGGAACTTTAACTTAAAAAAAAAAAAAAAAAAAAAAAAAAAAAATTAATATTATTTATAATTGTTAAAAAGTTTGAATACTTTAGTTATTAAGTATTTTAAAATTAAATTGTAAATACTCAATATTAATCAATTACAAACCAATGCCATTTCATTATTTTAGTATTTTGAAAATTTGAAAATCAAATACTCGAGTATTATTTTAAAATACTCAAAATGAACACATATCGCACCAATGAGCTTTTATTATTTTAATATTTTGAAATTTATTAATACTCAACCAATCAATCATGATTAACAAACAATTAAATTAAAGTAATAAATTTAACTCACTTACTTTGATACCAATCAATAATATATTAAACTTTTAAAAATATTAATCATTTTTACATTATCATCAATGATTATAAGAATTTTTTAATAATTTTTTTAATATTAAAAAGCGATAAAATTTATTTTTTCTTTATTAAAAAATGTCTTCTCAAAATTAACAAGAATAACAAGAAATCCAAGATCATAAAAATATTGCTTATTCCTCTTCCTCATTACAAACAAGATCTTTAATTTTAAAACATTTGATTGAAGATGTAGAAATTGAATTAATGAATATAGATGACAATATATTTGAATTAAAAAAGTATATAAATTGAATATATATTATTTTTTCTCAACTTAGAAATATTTTAAAAATGTTATTCACAAAACATATATAAGAATGATGCTATTGCAAATTTATGCCAGGCAAAATCTGGCTATAAGTCAGATTTTTATCTTTGATGTGGCCTAGGCGATTGCATTATCAATTGTATTGAGCCATAGTAGCAACTGAATGTTTGCAAGCAAATGCTTGCATGGGGCTGCTCAGCATAAGTGAGTAAAGCCACACAGTAAGTTCAAACCAATTACATCTAAGATTTTAATTAAATAAAATTATAAATTTAAAACTTTTTGGTTTTTTTTTTAATTAAAATTTATTAAAATAAAATTTACAACTTATATAACTTTTGATCACAATATTATTAGTTGCAATAATTTTTCTGATATATATAATTTTTGTTAAAAGAATCAAAAATCTAATCATATTATTATATATCTAAAAACTAATGAATTCAATTTTAATGAATTTAAAAAATATGTATCATTAATTAATACAGGTTTTTATGATAACAAAATAAAATATAGCTTACAAATTGATTTTATTGAAGAATACTATATGCTATATATAACTAAAATTATACAAAATTCATCAACAATGTTTGTTAAAGAATATATTTTTTATAATAATCAATTTTAAAATATGTTTAGTTAAAACCAAATTAGAATACATAATTTTATATAGTTAATATTTTATTATATTATTTATTTATTATACTAAATAATTTAACTCATTCAAATTCATATTTTAATATATTATAATTGTTGTTTTAGTTTACATAATATAAATAAAAATTATAAATAATATCAAAAATTCCTTTTCACTAATGTAAATTTACAAGTAATTTTTTTAAACCAAACTATTTTATATAATTGATCTAAAATGTCATAAACATTTTAGTTGATAAATTAGCCAAGAAACAAGCTAAAAAATGCTTATCTAAAAAGACTCAAAAATCAATTGCTATATTATCTAAGCAGTATGAAAAAAAACATTATGAAGATTCTATTTATCATTCTCTTGAAAAATATATAGATTACTATAAAATTTTTGAGGAGATTGAAATTAATGATCCAAATTTATATGAAAAGTTTATTCAAGCAATCATGCAAATATTACATTATACAAGAATTTATAAAGTTGAAAATGAAGCAAAATTTGTCAAGAAATATAAAAGAATTTTATCTGAAATAGACATCTCAACAAATCCAAATAAATACATTATAAATCTCTTGATAAAATATTCAAAATATAAATTCTTGCCACATTTATATAAAGATAAAAAAAGCTTGTTGATTTCAATTGCAAAGATTGAATATTATTATTGAACAATAAGTTTGAAAAAGAAAGAGTATAATAAACAAAACAATGAAAAATAGTAGTAAAAAATAAATCTAAATCAAAAAACATACATATTTCTCAATAGGTAGTAAAACAATTTAACAAAAACTTAAAACTTACTAGATTACAAAAAGATTATATCTAACAAAGTTGCAATGCAATTAATATTAATAGTAAAGAAATGTATGAAATAATAATATTCAATATAGAAACACTTTTTGGTATTTGTAATGATTATAAAATAAAAAAACAAATCATTTGATTGTATTTTATGAAAAAATGCTAGATAATATTAAAATGCTAAAAATCCTAATAAATATGTTATCAAACTTGCTAAACAACTTTATTTATTCAAAGTTAATTTTCACTTATATATTTTTAGACCCAAATTAATATTTCAGATTATTTTATTAACTGTTAATTTTTATATAATAGTAAGTTAAGTAAACTCGAAAAACAATGTTTAATAAAATTTATTTATATATATATTATTTTAATCAAAAAGAATTTTAAAAATGAGATGTTTATGATAAGCAATTATAACTTGTTGTGATTGCTTATCATAAACATTTGAAGCATTCAAGATTCTTATATTTTATTTATAGACAGTTTAGATAAATTTATACCAGCAATTTTTATACCAGCAATTTTATATTAATAATTTTATTATCTCTATATTTATCTCTATCTTTATCTTTATTTCTATCTCTATCTCTATCTCTATCTCTATATTTATATATATCCCTCTTGATTTTTTTTTTATACTCACAAAATTCACCAAAGGAGAAAAGCAATTTTGGGTTTGTTGGAACAATGAACAAAATGTGTTCAATATTTTTATAATATATTAAATATTTTTTTAATTTGATTTAGAAAATATAATATTAAAATTTAACATGTTAATAAAAAATTAAGATCTTTATTAAATTTTGGTTTATATAAAATAATTATATCAAAGCAAGAAAATATAACCAAACAGAAGATACAATCTCCATAACACATTGGCTAATTGACTTTGATACCTCACATA